CTCATTCTAGTTTGGGTTTGAGATGCTGCGCCTCAGCTGTACTTACCAACAAAGACAAACAATTTCTATTTATCACTTTCTTGAGGGTTTAGGGTTTAGGGTTTAGGGTTTAGGGTTTAGGGATACTACTTGGAGGATCATGGGACTTAGTAAGTAAGGTTATAAGTCCCCTAATTGGGGTTATAAGTATAGTTACCTTAGTTAGAACCCTACTTACTAAGTCCCATGATCCTTTAAGTACAGGGGCCTCAATAACTAGAATAGGGTTTGGCATATATTTTACGATAAGTAGTTATAATAAGGAGCCCCCAAAACCCTATTCTAGTTATTAAGGCTCCTACATTACTACAGTAGGGCTTTGGGGTTTGGGTTTTTCTGGGCGTTGGGTTTGGGTATAGGGTATAGGTTTCAGGGTTTAGGGGTTGAGGGTGTAGGGCTCATGTGTTTAGGGCGTTTAGAGGTTTCGGGTTTAGGTTTCTGGCTTCTTCACGGCTTAGGGATATATGATATTTGTCCCAAAACCTTGGAATGCCTCAAACCCTAAACCCTATAATCCCAAAATATTTTTGCCCCTGACACCCTGATTCTCCCATCATCCCTTCAATTCCAAGACCTAAGTTTCCCTAATCCTGCATCCCCCTTAAAAATGCTTCCCTGAGTCCTAAAGTCTAAACGCACATCCCTAACCCCCCACCCCCCCTAAACCCTAAACCCTAAACCCTAAACTCTAAACCCTAAACCCTAAACCCTAAACCCTAAACCCTAAACCCTAAACCCTACCGCAAAGGTGCTTCCCCGCTTCGCCTCCCTTTATAGCCGTGGCATCACGGACGGGGCCACGCTGACGGCGCACACGCGCGGGGCGCCCCCTGGTCCGATTTGACAAAGCCAGAGCGCCTTTAAATGCGGGTGGGGGAAGTGATTCAAGGAGGTATAGGGTGTAGGGTTTACCCCAAACCCTAAACCGCACACTGCGAAGTTCCTCGCAGTTCTTTCGAACATTCTTTCGTCCGTTTGTTTCTTGGCTTTCCAGTGGGGTGGCCTTGGGCTTTGGAAAATCGCGAGGCATTGTGTTAAGGGTTTGGGACCTGAGACACTCGAAGTTTCAGTCAGTCTTGGATGTTGCTGGCGTTCGAGGTTGAAGGTGGGTTGTTCTCTAAATTAGGGTCCCTTTTTGGGTCCCCAATATAATACGGCACCCTTATAAAAAGGACCCTAAAAGGGACCCCACTTTAGAAAACTACCCAGGTCTTGCTGGAGCTTGCGGCTTCCGAGCTCGGATTTGCGATTTCGAATATTTTCGGGAACGGCATCGGAAACCCGAAGGTCTGAGGAAGTCTTGAACGGTTTAGGGTTTAGGGTTTAGGGTTTAGGGTTTAGGGTTTAGGGTTTAGGGTTTAGGGTCTTGAACTCTAGAAACTCCATAAGACATGAACAGTGGTCTCGAGGCCTGAATTTTTAGAAGCAGTATTTTACTAGGGTTCTCCATATGGCTATAGGCCCTGTCGTTCTGGTTCTGAAGCCCCCACAAGCTAGTCGAATGATTCAGGCCCCAATGTCAGACTCCCTTTCTCCTTACACTTCCTTGAAACCTACTTCGCCAACCTCCCGAAACCCGAAACTGACCAAACTCCTCAGGACCTGAACCCTAAATTCCCCCGTGTCTGAGAACTAGTACTGCTTTTCCTCAGGGGCATCAGAGTCCAAATGTTGTTATGTAGTACAGAACACCTCTGGTGTTTTCGATTTCCCTAAACCCTAAGCCCTAAACCCTAAACCCTAAACCCTAAACCCTAAACCCTAAACCCTAAAACCCTAAACCGTAAGGAGCCTTTCAGCTACTGGCTCTGCTTTCGCCCTGCTCCGGAGCGACGGGCGTGTGGTGACGTGGGGCGACTCAGATCGAGGTGGGCCCCTGGTGTACTTGGGCGTTTGTTCAAGCTCAGGACTGTTGCAGAGTGGGTGCTATAACCCTAAACCCTAAACCCTAAACCCTAAACCCTAAACCCTAAATGGAGGTTTCGTAGTGTCTTAATTATGGGTTTTGTCCCAAGTGCAGGTAGTCGGTAGTGCGAGAGTCCAGACACTCCAACTCTGTGTGTTCAGCTCGAGCTGATTTCACAGGGTTTAGGGTTTAGGGTTTAGGGTTTAGGGTTTAAACCCTAAACCCTAAACCCTAAACCCTAAACCCTAAACCCTAAACCCTATCAGAGTCCGAGAGAGCGGAATACCGGAACCTTGCACATTCTCAGGTGGCGACAGCAGCATCGTGATGGAAAAGCTTTTCGCCGTGCACTCGCTGACGGCAACAGCTTTTGGGGCCTTCGCAGCCGTCAAGACGGATGGATCGGTAGCATCTTGGGCAAAAATACAGGCGCACGAATAAGAACAACAGTAGCCGCTTATAGTCCCTAGATATGTATGCTCATTACCCATACTATTTTGGGGGTGCCTTATTATAATTATAGTAGAATTTACCCCAAACCCCTATTCTCATTATTAAGGCCCCTACACTAGGAAGCGACAGAACTGCAGCAACGCGTAGAGAACGGGTGAGCAGAACCTCTAAGCACTCTTTCCATCCCAGGGGGTTTCCGAAAATAGGGGACCGTAATATAGTACCCTAAATAATAGGATCCCTATTATGAGGACCCCCAAATAAGGTACCCTAAATTTCAGGTCACCTGGGGCAACCCTGCCTACGGCGGCAGCAGCGACTCCGTAAGGGCCCGCCTCACTGGCGTGAAGCAGATTACGGCCGGGCTCCTCCCGGTCCTCCCTGCCCTGCGCTAAAGCACTTAAGGATTTAGGGTTTAGGGAGTTTAGGAAGTTTAGGGAGTTTAGGGTTTATACTCTGAAAAGGATCGTGGCAGGTCGTAAGCAGGTATGGAAGTTCCTGACATTGAGCCCTGAACCGTTGTCTCGTCATGGTCGCTATCCACCTCGCCATCACCATCAATATCTTCTCAACGCGGTCAGTGTCATCACCATCAGCAGCCCACCATCATCACATCCGTCATAAGAGTGACGAGGAAGACATGTCGTCATCAGCATCATCATCATCATTATCATCATCATCATCCTCGTCGCCGTCATCACCATCACCACCACCATCATCATCATCAACAACATCAACAACAACATCAACATCAACATCAACATCGTCATCATCGTCATCATCGTCATCATCATCATCATCATCATCATCATCGTGTTGCTCGTGTTGGTTATCCTAGATTCGGCCCGAAGCACCAAACCCCGTAGGCCCTTACCTCCTCTAAGCTCCGAAGCTCTCCGCAAAACCCTTCAGAACCGTGCAGCCCTGCTAGTTATAAAGATCACAAGAATCCGACTCATGAAATCTTCATAAGAACCTCCATAAAATCCCTCATGGACCCTCTACTAGAACCCTTACAAAGCCAGTATTGGCGAATGATACAACACTCCTTCAGTGATTGTCACCCTTGCAGACTTCTATCAAACGCCAGAACCCCCTGATGACCAATACTATTTTAGGGGCTCCTGGTTAAAACTTATAGTATATTGGGCCCCGAAACCCCATTTTAATTATTCAGGCCCCTATATTACAGCATCGAGAAGCCCTGATCCTGCAACCCTAAAGCCTGAAAAAAACAATCCCTCAACTGCTTGTGGAACCCTTAAAACAACTGATTCCTTATAGTCATAACCCCTAAGGGGGGGTTCAGGGTATAGGGTTTAGGGTTTAGGGTAACATCTTGGACCCTACCACCAAACTATCTTCCCCGTGAAAGGCCTCAGCAGGAGCCTTCGCGGCTCTTCGCGCCGACAGCTCCGTCGTCACCTGGGGCCACAAATGAGACTCGGCATCTGTTGTGTCTATGTTTCTTTCAGCAAGCGTTGCGTAGGGTGTTGATGAAGGTTCTGTGGGTGTGTGTGTGATTTTGCGTTGTATGGGGTTGTATGTTTTCATGGAAGTTTTGGAGGTTAGCGGCTTAGACCATAGGGCCCTAACTAGAGCTTCAGGGGTTTAGGGTGTTAATAATGATGTGTATGGTTGTCTTTAGTCTTTAATGGGGATGCTGATAGGATTTTGTTGGAGTGTCTTCAGTCTTTCGTTGTAGGGACTGTTGCAAGTTTGGCTTCCCCTCAAGGTGCTTATTCGGGCACCATGCCAATGAAATGTCTTGAACCCCAAACACCGAAGCCTTAAACCACAAGCCTTAAATTCTCCTGAAAAGCCCCACGCCCTGAGGGAGATCCTGTCGCAAAGACCGCCCTGCACGTCCCCTGAGGCCCGAAACCGCTAGACCTGAGCCTAAACCCTAAACCCCTGAACCCCTAAACCCCTAAACCTTGTGAGGCTTCGGAGGGGACAGCCGCGCGGTTCGTGGGCAGCTGAAGGACGTGCAGCAGGTAGCAACAGTATTTTGCGGGTTCCTTGTTGTAACTATGATGTCATAGACCACCAAAACGCTATTCTAAGGTTCCTGCATCCCGCAGGTCTGAGAAAAGGCTTCCCTCTAAAGGACCTTACTTATTGGGTTCATGCAGTAAATTGAAGAGCATTCTCCCTCTTGTCCCTGTAGACCTCTAACAAGGCTCCAGAACTCTGTTCCAACGAGTAAACCCTAAACCCTAAACCGTATATTGAACGTTGCTTGAAGTTTCCTGGTCACGGCCCCTTAAACCCCAGACGGTTGAATGCCCTAAAGGCCCTAAACCCTAAGCCCGAAACCCCAAATTCTCATGAACCCTAAACCCTAAACCCTAAACCCTAAACCCTAAACCCTAAACCCTAAACCCTAAACCCTAAATCCCAAACCCTAAGCCTCAGCCTTGAGCAATAGCCGAGGCTTTAGGGTTTGCCTGGACCCTGAAGAACCAACCTCTTTAGGGTTCCTTATGGTTTAGGGTTTAGGGTTTAGGTTTAGGGTTTAGGGTTTAGGGTTTAGGGTTTAGGGTTTAGGGTTTAGGGTGGAATTCTGTATATACGTCCTTAAACAAGGTAGGTTAGTTGGGGTTAAGCTAGGATTTGGGGGGTTTAGGGTTTAGAGTTTAGGGAAGACCCTCTAAAGATACTGGTGAAACACACTCTACAAAACAGCCTCATGCTTCAAGAGCTGTAGCTGCAAGAATAATGCGAAAAGGATCCTTATAAAGCACTATCAGAAGCGGGAAACTACTAAAACCCCTTACGCAACACTCCAAGAGCCCGACAACCTTCGTGAAGCGCTCCACGCACTCTAACCCACACATGCCACTTCCACTACGAGAACACCACAAAGATCCTTGGAAAACAGCACGCTAACACATCCCTACAGAGCCTCAGCTTCTGAGACATGAAACGTAAGAGCAACAAATGTTGCCCAACTTTATATTCTTGTTTTATTTATTATTTATTGTTATTATTATTAGATAGTATTAGTATTTCTTAATTAGGATTGTTATAGTTCTTACTTGTTCAATGTATTGTTATGTTAAAACTCACCAGCCCTCAGATTTGGTCCACGGCCTGCCGCTGCCTGGCCATGCACTGCGCGGCCTTCGCGGCCCTGCGCAGGGACGGCACGGTCGTGACCTGGGGTTGCGCCTCGAAGTCTTTGGACTTAGGGTTTGGGGGTTTAGGGTTTAGGGGTTTAGGGTTTAGGGTTTAGGGTGTAGGGTTTAGGTTTGAAGGGGTTTGTCAGTGTTTGACAAGAGAGTTTTGCAGGTCTTTATACTCCCTATCCTATCAAGCCCAGCGATCTGGGCAGCAGCCGACTCAGCCCACGCCATGCGTGGCTTCGGGTTTGCAATCTAGCTGTTACTACTGCGAGCGACGCAGCCAGAACACTGACTCCCAGCACCCTAAGCCTCAACCCTTAGACAAAACCCGAAACCCTAACACCCTAAAGCCCTAAACCCTAAAACCCTGAAGCCCTAAACCCCTAAACAAACTTTACACCCCCGAAGCCCTGAACCCTCAGACCCTGAACCCAAGGTGCAGCCTATGGAGGCGATAGTCACGCAGTGCAAGCACAGCTTCGCAGCGTGCAGCAGATCGAGGCCGGGGGTTGCCCTAAACCCTGAACCCTAAACTAAACCCTGAACCCTGAACCCTGAACCCTAAACCCTGAACCCTGAACCCTAAACCCTAAACCCTGAACCCTAAACCCTACGCCCTAAACCCTGAACCCTAAACCCTAAACCCTATGGCTCTTCCGCTGGAGCCTCAAAGTTGGGGGGTTTCTGGGCTTTAGGGTTTAGGGTTTCAGGGGTTTAGGGTTTGGGGGTTTAGGGGTTTAGGGTTAAGGGTTTAGGGTTTCAGGGGTTTAGGGTTTGGGGGTTTAGGGGTTTAGGGTTAAGGGTTTAGGGCTTCAGGGGTTTAGGGTTTAGGGTCTAGGGTTTAGGGGTTTAGGGCTTTACAGGGCGTTTTGTGGGGGTGTTAGTTAGCTTTCGGATTTGCAGGTGTAGGGTTAGGGCTTTAGCTGTTTTTGGATTATCGGGTTTTGGGCTTTGGGTTTAGGGTTCATAGGGCCTAAAGGTTTAGAGTTCTGGTATTAGAGTTTAGCGGAAAGCCTATTTGTACGGTTTCGGCATCATGGTTGACGTTGTCTGCAAAATGCTCCGGCAAGCAGTGTGTCTTCTTCATTCACCCCCCAAACCCTGAACCCTAAACCCTAAGCCTAGACCCCAAAACCCAAACCCTAAACCCTAAACCCTAAACCCTAAACCCCAAACCCTAAACCCTACACCCCAAGCCCCAAGCCCCAAGCCCCAAGCCCTAGACCCGACCCTACACACCTCTGCTGCGCGGCCCAAAACCATCCCGAAAGCTTAAGCTCCGAAGTCCAGACCGCTTGTTGGGGGGTCTAATATAGGGGCCTCAACAATTACCTATGCTATTTGTGGGTTTAGGGTTTAGGGTTAGAGGGGCCTGAGCAAGGGGGGGTTCCTTATCATAATTATAGTATAAGACTCTCCTACACTCTCCCCTCTCCTCTCGCCGTCTAAAGCACATAAACCCACCCCCCCCAAAGTCCTAACATAGCGGTTGGAAGAAAGTTCTTAATTGGTACCCCTTTCTAGTCACTGTGTACTTGTATTATCCTTTACCCCAAAATCCGAATCTAATTCTTGAAGGCTCCTCTGTTAATCCCTTCAAGGCAACCGTCGGAGCTTTCGCAGCACAGAGGGAGGACGGCTCTGTGGTGCCTCGGATTATGATAGAAAGCCCTTTACAACTTTGGCAACCCTGCTCCTGTAAATCACAGCAGCTAGTCGCACCCTAAAACCTAAACCCGGTTCATTCCGACGGAAATCTTAACAAGGCCCAAGGCCCTAGGCACATCAACAACAAACCCTATAGTTCTCCCCACTCCCTGCGATCTGGGAAACTGCACTTTGCGATCGAAATTTTTTCGCAGAGTATATATACAATGTTCAGACATACTCCCAGGCCCTAATGCACAACGACAGCCAGTAAAAACCCCTTAAGCCCTTAAGAGACCAACGCCTCGAGTATCCCACACTTGCAGATCACCTGGGGCCACCGCGCCTTCGGCGGGGACTCGGGCTCCGTTCAGCACCTGCTGAAGGATGTACGGCAGGTTCGGGAATAGTTTGTTCTAGGGTTTCTGGTTTAGGGTTTAGGGTTTCATACAGCTGCTTCATTCGGTGGGCAAGGCTGTCATCACGGGTTTTAGGGGTTTAGGTTTGGCGAAGGGGGGGGTTATCCTGAAAACGCTAAGCCTCAAAGGGGTTGAGGGTGCTTTGGCCTTGTGGCGCTAAGGCCAGCATCCCAAAAGTCCTAAACCTTATGACGTGGAGCCCAGGCTTTGCCATTTTACATGTTTGGGAGTTGCTGGCTGTCCAGGTTAGCTGAGCTCTGAATCGACAACCCGAAATTCCCCAAGTACTTGACATAAGACCTATTCAAAACATCTCGGGGAATATATCATATGCCTCTACTTCTCAAAGCAGCCCTCGCATCCCTGAAGGTCCGAGCCACACTCGGGGCATTTGCTGGACTCTGCGCGGATGGTTCTGTGGTCAGTTGGGGCTTGGAGGCGGATCCTAGCTTCTTGTTTTCCCGTGCTTGATAGCCTTTAGAAAAGGCGGTCCTGCTAAGAAGAACCATAAAGAAACCCTATGCCCGAAACCCCCAATCCTTATGATTTTGAGACTCTTAAATCCTGTTCGGACGCAGTCTGAGTAAGTAGTACCAAAATCTCCTAGACCATGAATTCCGTGGTACACCGCGAAACCGTCTTCGAATCTTGAAGGAAGACAACTTGAACCCTGAAGGCCTTAAGCCGATCGGTGTCAAACCCTAAACCCACCCCCTATAAGCCCTAAACCCTAAATTCCCTGAACCCTAAACCCCAAACCCTAAAACCCCAAACCCTCAAACCCTAGACCCTAAACCTTTAAAACCCTGGACCCTCGAACCCTAGACCCTAAACCTTAAACCCTACAAACCCTAAAGCCCTAAAGCCCTAAAACCCTAAAGCCCTAAAGCCCTAAAACCCTAAAACCCTGTCACAACCCTGAGCTCCGATGTCTCGTTTCATAGCCTTTTGGGAATCCTTGGCCCTAAGACCCCAGCCTTCCTTTTGCAATATCGGGGCTTAGGGTTTAGGGGTTTGGGGTTTTGGGGTTTAGGGTTTAGTGGTTTTAGGGTTTTGGGTTTAGGGCTTGGGGTTTTGGGGCTTTGGGTTTAGGGTTTAGGGGTTTTGGGGTTTTGGGTCTAGGGGTTTTAGGGTTTTGGGTTTAGGGCTTGGGGTTTTGGGGCTTAGGGTCTAGGGGTTTAATGTAGGGATCTGAATGTTGACCTATACTAGGCTTCTTCTTATAATTATAGCATAATATACCCCCGCCAAACCCCATGTTTTTGATGCCCCTACATTATTATATCCTCAACCATATCATCCAAAAGACCCTAAAGCCCTGAACCACGGCCCATAGTGTCTTTGGAGATCGGAGCCAGTACTAGTAGTATGCCCTTCCATCCCCTGCAGAGCTATGCTATCATACACCCCAGTAGAGGCCCCTATTCCCAAAGCGGAAAACCCAAAGCCCCGCAGCCGCGAATCCCAAAAGTTTTTCCGGGTTCGACGGAAGGCGAAGCGTGCTATGTACGGGTTGCTATAGGGGCTTACTATATATGTGCCAGGGTTGCTAGAAGAGTTCTAGTGCAAAACAGTATCATCTAGGGCTTGAAGTGTCGTGCTCCCAGATGATCTCTGGAAACGACCTGCCTTTGGACGTGCTACAGAACGTCAAGGACCGAGAAGAACTCTAGGAAGGAGGATGAGGGTCTTACGGTTTGCCCTAAGGCCCGAATTAACCCTGTAAACCCTAAACCCTAAACCCAGGATCGAATAAGCCTGATATGTTTGGGACCCTGAAAACCAGGATGTCTGAGGCCCAAAGAAGCCCCAAGGGCTTTCCTTCGAAGATTCTACTTGGAGGATCATGGGACTTAGTAAGTAAGGTTATAAGTCCCCTAATTGGGGTTATAAGTATAGTTACCTTAGTTATAACCCTACTTACTAAGTCCCATGATCCTTTAAGTAGACCCAAAACAAACACACCTCGGACCCTCAGCGGAAGGTTTTCGGGCAGGCAAGCTCGTTAGGATTCGACCTCCCTAGCCCCCCAGGTGCCTACTACATAGGGTACTAGAGCCCCCAGGGCCTATATAGTGGGTATTTGGAGGGTTAGGACCTGTTCCAGGCGACACAGGCGCGCTTACCAGCGTTCTCCGTGAACAAGATAAAATGCCATATTATGGGGGGCCTTACAGAAGGGTTTAGGGTTTAGGGTAGTGCTATAGTTATAATCGGGAACCCTACAATGGCGTGCATCCCGTGGATCGAACCTTTGTCTTCTGCTGCATACTCCTTCTAAGACGAATACTACTTCCAGTATTCAGTTTGCCATGCTGGCTGTTTCAAAAGACAGCTCTAACATCTCACGCGGCCCTTGAATCTTGACGACTATCCGGGCCTACATGCTGCGGGGCTTTGGCTGAGGGCTTTCTGATAAGGGTCTCTGTGGTATATGAATAAGGAAACCCGTCCCAGCCTGATGGTCAACACAGAACCTGGGAGTTTATGGTTTCTGGTTTGCAGGGTTCAGAGTGTAAGGTTTAGGGGTTCAGAGTGCCACAACAGCGTGTAGTCGGGGGTGTCTGGCACGACCAGCGCGACACTTCTTATTTTCTACGACCTGTCTGAGTGATAAGGAGAGTATCCTCAGCCTGGCGTGCTCATATCCCCAACCGTCACCCGATAAGTGAGTAAACCCCGCGCAAGAGCGCACACTCTTTAATCCCAAATCCTAAACCCCAACTCCCAAAACCGGAACACTTGAAACTCTAAACCCCTGAGCCCCGCTGATCCCCCCCACCCCGTCCCCCATCAAAAACAAGAACCCGTTTACACTCAATACCTAGCCCTTTTATTCTCCCTGATAGCAGCTCTTATAGCAGCCCTTAAAGCAGTCCTTAAAGTAGCCCTTAGAGTATGAGTAGCTCTTGAAGTAGCCCTTGAAAGTATTCAGTGGAGATACCTGATAATATAGACTCCTTTCTAGCAGCCCCTATAGTAGCCCTTAAAAGTAATATGGGGGCCATAATCATAAGAATAGGATAGGGTTTGGGGTACATTATATGAAAATTCTTGATAAGGAGCCCCCCCAAAACCCGATAATTCGTAAGGCCCCTACATTAGCCCTTTTTGGTAGGAGATCCGCGTGGTGGACTCCGTTGCCCTCTTCGCTGCTGTCCGACAGGATGACTCCGTGGTGATCTGGGGCGATCGGGAGTCTCGGTCGTAGAGTCTAAAGGGTTTCAGGGGGCTTTAGGGGTTGAAGGGAGCTTTTAGGGCTTTAAGGGGGTTTAGGGTTTCGGGGTTTAGGGATTTAGGGGGTTTGGAGTTTGAGGTTTTGGAGTTCAGGGTTTCAGGGTTTAGGGTTTTAGGGTCTAGCGTTTGGGGTTTTAGGGTATGGGGTTCAAGGTATGTGGCCGAGTCTGGAGATCTGATCCTTGTTTTGGTCGACATAATCATAACTACGAACATACACTTCCAAACCCATGTCCATTTCAGGCCTCCAGAGGCCCTATATATGGAGAGACCGTATGTTGGGCTTAGGGAATCTTGTTTTGGCCTCGGCGAGGGTCAGGACTGTGTTTTTACCGTTTTGGGGTCGGGGTGTTAGAGCCCTAAACCCTAAACCCTAAACCCTGAACCCTAAACCCTAACCCCTAAACCCTAAACCCTAAATTCTAAACCCTAATAAAGGTTTTGGGTGTTTGGGGGTTTGGGCTTCCGGGCAAGGCGAGGCGCTCATTGTCGGGATTCAGGGGTTCGGGTTTTACTTCATGGACGGCTGGTAACTACAAGTCGGTTTAGGGTTTAGGGGTTTAGGGGTTTAGGGTTTAGGGTTTAGGGTTTAGGGTTTAGGGTCTAGGGTTTAGGGTTTAGGGCTTAGGGTTTAGGGTCGAGGGTTTGCAGTAGAATCATAGTATAATGGGCCCAAAACCCTATTCTAATCAGTAAGAGCTTTTTTTGTTAGGCCTTTCAGGTGGACTTAGGCAGGCATTTCTGTCTGTCACAAGGAAGTCTCAACCCCCAAAACCTAGGAATTAGAAGAGGGTTTGGGGCTGCATGTATATATATATATATATATATATATACACATGCACACATTCATCTGTCTATCACACGCCTATTCCCTTATCTAGGGGCAAAGAAGGGAATATCATGCCTGAATAAGTATGCTTGAACCCTAATCCCTAAATCCCTAAANNCCTAAACCCCAAAACCCAAAACCCCCGAAACCTTGAACCCCTAAACCCCTAAACCCCTAAACCCCTAAACCCCCAAACCCTAAACCCTAAACCCCTAAACCCTGAACCCTTGCTGTGATAAAGTTGCAGTTGTCCACACAGTTTAGATGCCCGAGGTTGTCTGTTGAGCACCATACGCTGGAACCCGACTCTTGATAGGAAGTAAGGGAAGCACAGTGTTTGCTATAGCTAGATACCCTTATTATGCAATGCTGACGTCACTTAATATAGAGTCCTCAATAATTACCAATACTATTTTTGGGGTTCCTTACTAGAATTATAGATAGTATAATGGGCCCAAAACCCTATTCTAATAATTAAGGCCCCTACATCAATTAAGTTCCTATTATCGGGGATCAGGCTCAGGGTTCAGGTTTTCGGGATCAGTTTAGGGTTTAGGGTTCAGGCTTTCGGGTTTAGGGTTTAGGGTTTGGGGTTCAGGGTCTAGGGTTGAGGCTTTCGGGTTTAGGGTTCAGGTCTTCGGGATGCGCGGGTGCCTGAGGCTTTCGGCCAGCACACCTACGTCGCGCAGGCAGATCTGGATTGCCTACAGGAGCTACAAGTCGCAAGCAAAGGCTCGGGGGGGGGGGG